TAAACTGAGACATTCAAAACACTACGATAAATTGTCCTTTATATAAATTTCTTTGATTTGTATAACGCACTTTTTTAAAAAAATACTTGTTATTCTAATGTACTTTTTATACTTTGACGAAACCGTCTCGCTCGCGTTTTTCAATAACATTTTCGGATTATAATAGAATTCAAACTAGAAGAAGTAAAAAATTGAGATAAAGAAGAGCAATCGGAGTAAATGTTTACAAGATACAGCGTCAGTTTTAATAAATAACACTTTTAAAATCATCGTTCGTTCGAAACTAGTATTCAATGCATTGGGGTCAGACGCAGGTTTGTTTCGTTTATTTCAAAGTAGAGTTTTCGACGATAATAATTTCGGAGGAAATTCTATACGATTCTACGATTCTGTGTTCAGCAAGTTTCGGTTAGCTGGGAATCCATGGGAATCGACGCGTTTTCAACAAATCGAATCTTTCAACCAAGTATTTTCGATTTGCGCAATTTAATCTATTATAAATTGGAGCAAAATTTTCGAATTTTCCAATTTAACAGAAGCAAATTTATCTTCAAAAACACAATTGAATCATAAACCCATTTGAATCCATAGCCTTTCATTATTCCATGTTTGATATGACGAATACGTCAAATAATTCCTAATGCAATTTAATCTTTCAGTCTACAACAAGTACGACTACAATCTAATCTAATTGCAAGTCATAGTAAAATTCTAATTATTAACTAACATTCGATCAGAAACAAATTCACTCGTGTGAAAGTTAAATTATTCGAAACTCTTACTTGCAAATCATCTACTTAAACCATTACTTACTCACTCTAGCCTTTCCTCCCGATAAATTTATCATACGTTTATCGACGAGTTGAAAGCATTCGATTACGAACATAAATATTAATAAGCACTCTACTACTACCAGTATGATGCGACTTATTACGCTTAAAATCAACAACCATCAAAGATCGAGGCGTTATGATCCCGTTCGAAAATCGACGTCTCCCGATTTTCGACCTATCCTAACCCGGTTCATTCTAACGGAATCAGCTGACAACGAATCGGTAAATCTTCTTTCACCGTTCGGATAGATCGGCTGATAGAATCGGGCGATGAACACGTCTACGCCGAAGGATCGCGAAGGATCACGTTGTAAACAGGGATCGGGACACACAGCTGAGAGGCGAACGAGCGGATTGGCGCGAAGACGGCGAATACGAGACGGAGAATGCACACGACAGGAATTATCGACGCGCGCGGCTCGAGTATACCGCTATACCAACTGTGCGATCAAGGTCGCGAGCCGAGGGTCTTCCGCTATGTATGTTTAGGAAGTCGATGGGGACGATTGAAGAACACGGCCTTTCCGATCCTCGTTACTCTCCAATTTCGCAAGTCGGTCCTCTGTCGCGACCAGCGACGTCGGCCAAATCG